TCACTATTATTGCTCAGGCTGGAGTGCAATGGTGCGATCTCAGCTCACCGCAACCTCCACCTCCCAAGTTCAAGTGATTCTCCTGCCTCAGCCTCCCAAGTAGCTGGGATTACAGGCATCCCCCACCACACCCAGCTAAGTTTTTGTATTTTTAGTAGAGATGGGGTTTCTCCATGTTGGTCAGGCTGGTCTCGAACTCCAGACCTTAGGTGATCCACCCGCCTCAGCCTCCCAAAGTGCTGGGACTACAGGCGTGAGCCACCGTGCCCAGCCGAGGCAGCTGATTTTATTCTAACCTGAGCAGAAGGCAGCATAAGAAGGATTTCTCTTCTTACCAGATTTTCATCTTTGAAACTGCCTTCAGCTAGGCACAGCTAAAATGACATCAGGCATCTTCTCAGGCCATTGGTCCTCCTGCAGGCCCTCCCCAGGGCTTGGTTTCCACCCTAGCAGAAGATATCAGCCAGGGTCGGGCGTGTGCCTGAGCATCCATGTCCTCTTCCCTTTGCTCTCCTGCTTGGCCGGCCCCCGTATGCTTCTAGGGGATCTTCGAGCTCTGGTCACCTAACTGGCCTTTTCTGCCTGCCTGGTGTCCAGCCTGCTCCGCCCTGCAGCTTCCTGGCCCCCACTTCACACCAGCCTGTAACTGCCTCTGCCTTGGCCCGCAGGGAAAGCAGCTTCTTAGCAGCCGCTGTTTCTGCTCTACCTTTGACCACAGCTGGCACCGTCACAGCCTTTCCTGCAGCCAGTCCCGTCCACTCAGTGCCAAGGAGCAGCAGGGCATCTGGGCAAGCTGTAGCAGGGATGCCTTGGCCAGGCCTTCACAGGGCAGGGGTGTCCCTCACCCCTCTGTCCACGTCTTCATTAGTGCTGCTGTGCACAGAGGCTGTCTCTACAAGGAGCACTTAGACAGGTGTCACCCCAGTGGCCCAGGTCCAGCCCCTACCCACCAGCCTCATTGGGACCACCTGAGGAGTGACCCTCCACCCTCCTGCACTGCGTGGGGCAGCAGACCCCACCGCAGGGGCTGCAATCCAGTGCAGGAAGTGTGGGCTTCCTCCAGGGGAGTTGCTTGGCCCTCCGCCACGACAGGCGTGGCCCTCGGGGACAGCCAGGCTTCAGGGCCACGTGGGCAGGAGAGAAAGGCAGGGGAGGCAAAGAGCGCTTAGGAAGGGCAGATAGTTCTTTTGAGCAAAGGGAAAGCATCGGTTTCTGCGTATTACTGGGGCTGGGCATGTTCTTCAGCCTTGCCCACGATGTGCCAAGCATGCGTTAGAGACAACATGCCACCTCCAGACCCTCAATTAGCAGGCCTTCTCTGGGTCAGAACTGAGCAAACTTACGTCTCCCCCTGCACCCCCCGACCCCCGCCGCTGGCACTGGCTTTAAGGTTGGCTCCAGCAGGGCCCTGCAGTAGTCACTGGCCCACTTGCCATGGATGGGAGCCGTGTAACCAGGGAGAGGCTCAGCTAGTGGCCACACACCACCAGCGAACTCTGCCCCTGGTGGGAAGGAACAGACAGCAGCAGTCTTCAAAGTGACTGCCTGGGAACAGGGGGTCTTACCCACGCCCCTTTCAGTGCCAGCCTACTCCATTCCCAGGAAGGCAAGTTGATATTGCAAGAGTTCAATGAGGCCAGGCACGGTGGCTCACTCCTGTAATCCCAGCACTTTGGGAGGCTGAGGCGGGCGGATCACCTGAGGTTGGGAGTTCTAGACCAGCCTGGCCAACATGGAGAAACCCCATCTCTTCTAAAAATATAAAATTAGCCAGGAGTGATGGCGGACACTTGTAATTCCAGCACTCAGGAGGCTGAGGCAGGAGAATCACTTGAAACCAGGAGGTGGACGTGCAGTCAGCCGAGATCTCGCCACTGCGCTCCAGCCTGGGCAATGAGAGAAAAACTCCATCTCAACAAAAAGATTTCAATGTAATGCTGTCCCAGTTCCTGAAGCTTCCAGTTAGACCAGTCCCTGCTTCACCAGAGTGTCAGGTGTCCTTATCCCTAGCAAGAATAGCAGACCAGAATTCTGTGGCTTCCTTCTTCACCTCAAAGCTGGACTGAGCCAGTGCTGAGGTCCTCTCTGCCGGCAGTTCAGGGCAAGAAGAATGGAGCTCTTTCTCTGCATCAGGACTGGGTCCCCAGTACCTGCCCTGACATCCCCACTGCAGCAGCTGGGAAAGACACCCTAGCCGCCTCTCCTCCTTAGCCAGCTTCTCCTCCGAGGCTATTCTCTTGCTCCCCAGGAGACTTAACTTCAAACATCAAACACAACACACCCCTCCTTGCGTCTCCTCATCTGCCCAGCAGCTGCAGGGTCAGCCTCTGCCGTGCCCAGCCCATCCGCCCTGCGTGCCCTCCCAGCTCCTGCCTCCCCACGCCGCCTGTCTGGCTAGCATCCTCCAGAGGACATTTAGAAGAGCTTAACCAAGCTACCTCCCATGCTGCTGAGACCAGGGGTGGGGTGGAGTGCAGGTGGTCATCTCTGTGCTGGTGAGCCAGCGCAAGACAAGAGGGCACCTCACCCGCAGTGTATGGGTTTATTTTCAGCAGCAGAATGGAATCCCCATTCAAATACAACCTCATGCAGAACCACAGTCCAGAAAATAGGAAACAAGACCTGCTCAAGAAAGGGTCTGCAGGGAATTCTCCACAAGCCTAGGGGCGCTGGAGAGGTTTCTCAGTCTCCTGAGTTTAGCCAGTCTTGTTCGTAGCCATTGGTGGTCTTGGTCTCCCGAACCTCTCCAGCCTTTGCTGCTGCCTGTCACGTAGGTCACCTGTCAGATCCTCATATCCAGAGGCAGGAAATGAGACCCTCTCTACCATTTGCAGGCATGCCTGGAGGGTGGGAGCCCTCAACCCAGGACCCCCGACCTGCTCCATTCGTGCATCAGCCATTGGTAAGGGCAGCTTCTGATGACCTGGTGGTCTCTGTTTCAGGGTAAAATACGAAGCCCCCCAAGCAACAGACGGCCTGGCTGGAGCCCTGGACGCCCGGCAGCAGAGCACTGGTGCGGTAAGCAGAGGGCCCTCCTGAAGGAGGTGAAGGAATGCTCACCCGCTGGGTGCCACTGCGGGCCAAGCCCTGGCTCAGCACATCCACAGGCCTTTCCTCGTTTGGCTCTCTGGTCGCTTCTTGTTGGCTAATGTGGTTATTCCCAATTTACAGCTAAGGAAACTGCTAGGGAGGCTAGGCCATTTGCCCAAGCTCACACGCACGGACTCACACCCGGGCTTGACTTGAAACTGGACACCAGCGGCCCTGGCTTCACATTCCAGCTCTACCGCTGACCAGCCCTGTGTGTCCTTAAACAGATGATTGGCCTTTCTGACCCTCAGTCTTTTGAGACAGAGTCTTGCTTTGTTACCCAGGCTGGAGTGCAGTGGCGCAATCTCAGCTCACTGCGACCTCTGACTCCCTGGTTCAATTGATTGTCCTGCCTCAGCCTCCCAAATAACTGGGATTACAGTCACACGCCACCATGCCCAGCTAATTTTTTGTGTGTATTTTTAGTAGAGATGAGGTTTCACCGTGTTAGCCAGAATGGCCTCGATCTCCTGAGCTCGTGACCCACCCGCCTAGGCCCCCCAAAGTGCTGAGATTGCAGGCCTGACTGTCTCTGTATCTGTGCACTGGGGCTTATCCTAGCACCTAGACTTGTTTACAACAGAACACGTGAGAGGATGTATTCAGGGCGCTTTACAGGGAGTTCGAGCCCAGTCAGTATTACTCCTCTCTGCCTCTAGAGACTTTTTTTTTTTTTTTGAGACGGAGTTTCACTTGTTACCCAGGCTGGAGTGCAATGGCGCGATCTCGGCTCACCGCAACCTCCGCCTCCTGGGTTCAGGCAATTCTCCTGCCTCAGCCTCCTGAGTAGCTGGGATTACAGGCACGCGCCACCATGCCCAGCTAATTTTTGTATTTTTAGTAGAGACGGGGTTTCACCGTGTTGACCAGGATGGTCTCGATCTGTTGACCTCGTGATCCACCCGCCTCGGCCTCCCAAAGTGCTGGGATTACAGGCTTGAGCCACCGCGCCCGGCTCTAGAGACTTTTTATTTGCAGGAGTGTGGGCAGAGAGGAATAAAAGCAGACTGTGAAGCAGCAGGGGAAGTGCCAGGGTGCTCCTTGAATTCCATTTCGTTCCTTGACTGCGTGTTGAGTGACAGCCACTTGTCTAGCACCAAGCACACTTTGTGGGTGACCCCACGCCCTTTAGCAAGAGCTCCAAGCACAATTTTCTCATGCATTTAAATGTGTATCTGGATGCGTTTTGGGCAATGTGAGAATTTCTGCTCCAGCAAGTGAGCACACAGAGCAAGTCTTATGGGAGACGGTTCGAAATAGCAGGAACTGTGCGTCCAGGGAGGGAGGTGGCGGGCCCGGGGCCGAGGAGGCTCGAGGCAGTGTGGGGACTTCTGAGGCCGGCATGGGGTTGCGGGTAGGAAATGAAGCTCCAGGGATAGATGGGACCAGAGGACCTCAGGGCAGCTAGGAGCACTGCAGATTGCATCCTACGTGAGGTGGAGGCTGCAGGGAAGTCTTAAACACAGGAGGGACATTTCTCTTACTTCTGATCCAAAAGGATCAGGATGGAAGCTAAGAAAGCAAGGAGGGCCAAGCGTGATGGCTCACGCCTGGAATCCCAGCACTTTGGGAGGCCGAGGTGGGCAGATCACCTGAGGTCAGGAGTTCAAGACCAGCCTGGGCAACATGGTGAAACCCTGTCTCTACAAAATATTTTAAAATTAGCCGGGCATGGTGGCGCACCTTTAGTCCCAGCTAGTCAGGAGGCTGAGGTGGGAGGATCACTTGAGCCCGAGAGGTGGAGGTTACGGTGAGCTGAGATTGCACTACTGCACTCCAGCCTGGGCAATGGAGTGAGACCCTGTGGCAAAAAAGGAAGGAAAGAAGGGAGGGAGGAGTTTTGGAAACCTTCAAGTCCACTCCACTGTGGGCACAGTGTTCGTGACTCCCAAGGGCACTCTGCCTCCGCCACCGGGTCCCCAGCATCTCAGGAGCCATTCCCAAGTCAGAACAGGGCAAGGTCTAGGACACTGGGGTCCGCCACCTGCACGCCTTGTGGACAGAGGTTGACTCCACCGCCCAATGGGCAGTAATCCCAGCCAATCCGCTCCTGCTGCAGCCCAGAGACAGGGCTCACTTCCCCAGGGGCACACAGCAATCCAGGCATGACTAGAACTAGAGCCCAGGTGTCCTGGCTCCCGCACCACCTTTGCAGCCCGCCCGCAGGGAGGAAGCACACCACGCAGCTCCACCAGCGGCAAAGCGGAAGCTGATGAGCCGGTTATCACTCATTTATCTCCGATAACCTGGGAGAGTTCAGCCCCTTCTGCCACATCAGGGTAGGATTTCCTAAAACTGTGTGAGCAAACACCTGCTCCTGGGTGCTGGAGTCCGGCTGGTGGTAAGGCCTTCACCCACTAAACCGTGAGAACACGATTCCCAACAGCAAAGTACAAAACAGCATCAAAACCGGGCGTGGTGGCACATACCTGCAGTCCCAGCTACTTGGGGGGCTGAAGTGGGAGGATCACTTAAACCGAGGAGTTTGAGGTTATCGTGAGCTGTGATTGTACCACTGCACTCCAGCCTGGGCAACGTAGTGAGACTCTATCTCAAAAAAGGAAAAAACAGAATCAAGTACCAATTGTGGGCAGCCCGTGTTTGCACCCTGGGATTCAGAGCAGGTCTCACAGGTCCTGTGACGAAGTGGCGTTGCATGCTGTTTGCCAGGTTTTAGTTCCTTCACTTCCTGACAAGCCTGCCACGTGCCAGGCCCCATGCTGGTCTGAGCTGGGTCCCAGCCAGGCACTGGGCCGTGGGCTGGGAGCTGGACTCTCATCTCCCTCCACTCTGGGGCACTAGGAAAACGCTTGGTGCCATGGATGAATTTGAGAAGATTGGATAAACTGATGTTCCTAAAACCTGGGTGCCCGTCACACCCCTCTGGGAGCCTCCAGACCATCTGACAGCCACCTGCCCTGCCGCCCTGGGGTTTCTGAGGCCCAGCCTCTGGGATCCCTGAGGAGAGGGTTGAGAAGCTTTGTTTAGTTCACCGTCAGCTCTGCTCCAGCCTACTCGGGGCTCTGGCATCCCAGAGCTGTTGTGGTTCACCCCTTGGTGGGTACCACAATACCTGCCTCATCCCTCTGCACGGCCGCCACATCCACCACAATACCTACACACACACACACCACACTTACACTCACCACACACCCCTACACACACACACCACGTACATCTACACTTACTACACACACACACACCTACACTCACCACACACCCCTACACACACACACCACGTACATCTACACTCACTACACACACACACACCTACACTCACCACACACCCCTACACATACACACCACATACATCTACACTGACTACACACACACACACCTACACTCACCACACCTACACTCACCACACACCTACACACACCACACACCACATACATCTACACTCACCACACACCCCTACACACACACACCACGTACATCTACACTCACTACACACACACCTACACTCACCACACACCTACACACACACACCACACCTACACTCACCACACACCCCTACACACACACACCACGTACATCTACACTCACCATACACCTACACACACACACCCCTACACTCACCACACACCCCTACACACACACACCACGTACATCTACACTCACCACACACCCCTACACACACACACCACATACATCTACACTTACCACACACACCTACACTCACCACACACACCTACACACACACACCACACCTACACCCACCACACACCCCTACACACACCACATACATCTACACTCACCATACACCTACACACACACACACCTACACTCACCACACACCCCTACACACACCACCCCTACACTCACCACACACCCCTACACACACACACCACACCTACACTCACCACACACCCCTACACACACACACCACACCTACACTCACCACACACCCCTACACACACACACCACACCTACACTCACCACACACCCCTACATACACACACCACATACATCTACACTCACCACACACCTACACACACCACGTACGTCTACACTCACCACACACCTACACTCACCACACACCCCTACACACACACACCACACACACACTCACCACACGCATCTACACCTACACACACACCACACACATCTACACTCACCACACACACCACACACATCTGCACTCACCACATATCTGCACTCACCACACACACCACACCTACACTCACACACACCTACACTCCTATGCACACACCACACACATCTACACCCACCACACACACACCACACACCTACACCTACACACATCTACACCTACACACACACACCACTATGCATCCACCACGCACACCTACACACACCCCTATGCACACACCACACACGTCTACACCTACACACACACCCTATACACCCACCACACACCACACACATCTACACCTACCACACACACCTACACATACACACATACACCTACACACACCCCTACACGTACATACTCATACACCTGCATACACACCCCTACACACAGCACACCTACACACTCATACACCTACATACACACCTACACACACACCCCTACACACAGCACACCTACACACACACACACCTACATACACACCTACACACACACCCCTACACACACACACCTACACACTCACACATACACCTACATACACACAAGGCAGCAGGCCTCCTGACCCAAAAGGCGTGCCCCGTTAGAAGCTGTCCCGCCCAGTGGCCCTGGCGCTGCCGTCCCTCTGCCATCAGCGTGACTCTTACTCAGATGGGAGGCAGCCACGAGAAGAGCCTCAGTGACTGGATGGTGAGACAAGGCATGGTGAGCAGGGGCCAGGCCTGGCCGCCGAGAGCTGGGGCTGCTCACAGGGCTCCTGCCAGGCGTGGGCATGGGGCACGGTGCTTCTGTCTTAGGGAGTGGGACCCGGGAGAAGACCCAGAGGAGCATGGAGGGGCAGCTGAGGGCCCTGCAGGGCCCCTGGGCTCAGGCTGTTCCCAGATTGGCCCAGCCAGCCCCGCTTCTGCAGCTCCTCTGTGCCCAGTTCCCGCTCTTGACTCTTGGGCAAGGACAGGGCAGCCCCTCTGGCAGCTAAGAGGCGACTGGGACAGCACACCGGGAGAGGGAGCGGGTGTGGACAGCTGGGGCACTTGCTGCTGCTGCTGCTGCTGAGAAGTCAGCTCCTGCCTTCTCTCTGGCTCTGCTCCTGCCTGAGGGGCCTCAGGTGCTGGGTGACGGAGCTTGGAGACCAGACTGGCCTGTTCGGGGAAAGACTCTGTCTTTTCCCAAATAGCTGACTAGTAACTAATGCTACTAGTGTCGTTACTGACAAATAGTATCTAGGAACTGGCATTTCTTGAACACCTCCTCCATGCCAGGCCCTGTGCCAGGCTCTCGACATCCATTCTCCCATTTCATCCTCACAGCTGCCTGGGCGGTAGGTACTGCTGTTAGCCTCACCCAGAGGGTGAGGGAAATGAGGTGCGAAGAAGCTAAGTGACCCACTCAGAGTCGCGCTGTGTTAAGGGGTGAGCCAGACCCAGATCTTTCTGACTCTGAAGTCTGTGCCCATGAGCGCCAACTGGAGTCTACCGCTGCAGAAGCCGTTGGTGGAGAAAGCCTCCAACAACTCCTGGCCCTGTGTGGGAGCCATCGTGGCACAGCCCAAAGTGAAATGTCCCCATCTGGGTCTACCCACCTGGCCTTGTCTGAGCAACTTGGCACCTCTGTTCTCAGGCCCTGCTATGCCCTCTTCTATCATGAAGTCTGCATCTGCAGAGGCACCAGGGAATGGAACCTGGGGACCCCTGGCCCACTAACCATGTCCCCACCCCAGCCTTCATGGCTGGAGAAAATGCCTGGGGTTCATCCCTGAGCTTCCAGTGTCCTTTGTCAGATGCTCCTGAGCACCTGCAGCAGTGGCCTAGCCCCTGCCCCAGGCCATTGCCCAAAGCCCCTCCTCCAGCCTAGAACCCTGCCCACAGGGTGTGTGAGAACTGGGGTCCTCTCCTCAAGGGGAAGGAGCTCCCTCTGACCCCTGGCCCTGCTCCAGCTGCTGGGAGCTCTGTCTCCTGGCTCTGCACCTAACTCGCTCACAACCTGCCACAGTGGACCCAGGGGTGGGTCCAGGCAGCTAGGCAGATGGGGCCTGGGTGGAAGACTGCCCAGGGCCACCCAGCTGCAGGGCGCTGAGCTGGTACTACCTTGTCGCCCAGGGCACTGCCCTCCCTGCCTCACCCTCTGCCCCTCCTTCCAGATCCCAGTCACACAGGCCTGCCTCATGGAGGACGTCGAGCAGTGGCTGTCCACTGACGTGGTACGTTGGGGCCCAGTCGGCTCGGACGCAAAGGCTCAGGCCCCTCCTCACCCACACTGCGGGAGGACCCGTTGTTCTCACAAAGAAATGACCCATGGGGCCAGGGTAGAGCGGAGGGGCGCACTTCAAGTCCCCATCTCCTGCCCCCTCCCACCTCCTGCTTGGCACACTCCCCCTCCAAGAGAAGGCCTGGGCACAGTAGCCTCAGCTGCTTCCCAGAGCCTGCTCCCAAGGTGAGACCCAGTGGGTGTCCGCCCACCGCAGGGATGTGGCAGGCTAGAGAGACTGACCAAGGACGCGTAACGGCGCCAGGCTCTTCCCTGCAGTAGCTCAAGGAGCCTCCAGTCATTAGCAGAGGGAAGCCATCACCAGCCTGTTTACAGATCAGATGATAAGCAGCTGTCCTCTAAAGGGGAGCACCCAGGAGGAGGAGGACGGGTGCCAGGAGACGGGGACCCCAATCCCTGCCACCCTCCCAGGCAGCAGAAGGAAGGAGAGGCAGACTCAGCTCCCACCCCAGCATCTGCCGCCCCCTTTCTGGGCACCAAGGCCCACATGGGCGCCTGGGCACTTCAGGCCCAGAAGCTGCCTCCTGCAGGTGGAGAGGCCGTTTCTGCCCAGGACTAAGCCACAGGGCAAGGACTCGGGCTCTCTGACTGCTGGCAGAAGCCTCGCCCCCCTCCCTAGTTTGCAGTGTTAGCATGAATGGCCATCGGTCTCTGGGTAGGAGCCTTTCTCCCCAGGGGTGAGGACCGTCCACCCCTTGTGACCCTCCAAGGAAAGGAATTGGCACCCATCCAGGACCCACTGGGCACCAGGTGCTGGGCTTGGCGTGCGTGTATTATCCCATTTCAGCTCCCCAGCAACCCTTCAAGTTAGCTTCGACCCCCCCCACACCCCACCTGCATTTTACAGAAGGAAAAAACAAGGCTCAGGAAGTTGGGTGCCACCTAAGGAAGGCCCCACGGTTCAGAGAGGAGCCCAGGTCCTGGGACTCAGGGCGGTGCGGGGCGCGGAGCTGGGACCCAGTGCTCAGGTTCAGCAGTCCCCAAACTGCAGCCCCACTGCCCCGGCTGACTGTCCTGGGGCCCGGCTAACCTCTGCCTCTTTTCCTTCTACCTTCCCAGGGAAATGATGTGGAAGAGCCCAAGGGGGTCACCAGCGAAGGTAGTAGTCCCCGCCCCTGTCCCACCTTTGCTTTCGCCAGGGCTCTGGCCTCAGAGCCCACGCTCACCCTCTCCCTTTCCTCTAGAATTTGACAAATTCCTGGAAGAACGGGCCAAAGCCGCGGATCGACTGCCCAACCTCTCCAGCCCCTCAGCCGAGGGTCCCCCGGGTCCCCCACCTGGCCCAGCGGCCCGAAAGAAGACCCAGGAGAAAGATGATGACATGCTGTTTGCCTTATGAGTGTGGGGTCTGGCACCCTGCAGCCCAGGTCCCTGCTGCTCTCACACCCTTAGGCTGGGGCCTCCCTCCCTCCTCTGGTGTTAAGGCTGCTTTGGGGGTGGCTCGTTACCCCCTCTTCTCCTCCTTGAAGATGGAGCTGCCCCAGCTGCGGCTGGGGGCGTAAAGGCGGCAGGATGAACTGGGGGACAGATCAGCGCTGCCTTGGGATCTGGCTGCTCCGCCTCCTTTCCCACCCCAGCCGACCATGAGACTGCTGAGAAGTGGAGCCCCCAGGACAGGCTGGCTTGCTGGCTGGTTGACCCAGGGTGACTCTCCTTCACTGAGTGATGCCCTGTTCTGGACCCATGCCCCAAGGAGCCCTTCAGAGCCCACACTGCCAGTGGAGGCCTGGTTGGAGGCTGGCCACACTGGAAGTTCTACGGAGCCTCCGGTCCATTCCCTGCTCTGCCTCATGGGGCCCCATGGCTTCGGCTGGCCATTAAGGGCAGGGCGTGGAGGTGTGGAGGCCCCCTGAGGAGCTTCGTGGCCCGCATACAAAGCTGCAACTCTGCACGCAGTGGGTGAGAGGCTGCAGGTGAGGCTCCAGGGGATGCTGGATGCTGGGCCCAGCTTCCCTCCACTGCCCTGTCCATACCCCCTCTGTTCCTCCTGGCCAGGCACCATGGCACGGGGCTCACCTGTCGGTTGATCCTCTCGTACCGGGAGAGGTGCCTTTTGTATCCCCAATTAAAGGTAGAAAACCACCCTGCTAGCAGCATTGTCAAGTCTCCTGGTGAGAAATGACTTGGCCTCACAGAGGTGACTACTTTGGGCGGGGCTGGGGGCCACCCGAGAAGTGACATCTGTAGCTGGTGCAGGCGGAGGTGCAGGCGGAAGTGCCGCCTCCTCCCATCTCACATGGCAGGCTCCACCCACTGCCCCCACCCAGAGGATGCATGCCTCCCTGACTGACGTCCCTCCCTCCTCAAGGCACTGCTGTCCCATGAGGCCAGCTCCTGCCCTGCACAGAGCACACTAATCACAAGGGCGGGGACCCATGTGGACTGCATGGGTGTCCTGGGTAAACAGGCCATGGGAGGATGCTGGCCTTCCGAGGCCGGGTGCCAGGCACTGTCTGGGGCTCCGCACTGGCATGTAACATCACAACAGCCTGGGAGAAGCAAAGTGAGCATCCTCGATGTCTAGATGTGGAGACTCCAGGAACCACACAAGCCGCCCAGCTCGGGGAGGGACGCTCGTGCCGTTGTCACGTGCCAGGCACATCCTCACACATAAGCACATCCTCCCAATTTTCCAGGCACCGAAGCTGTTGGGACGCCATGGCACACGGTTCCAGACGCTGGGCCCCAGGTCAGGCGCAGGGGGCCCGTTCTTACCTCCATGGCAAGTCAAGAGCCCCAGGTCTTGGGGTACCACCTTTTCAGCTGTGGGATCTCTAGGCCAGACTCCCCGAGAGTCACTGCTGAGGCATGTTGGAGCCTCTTGGCCCAGGACACAGTTGAGGAACAAAGGGGGCTGGTGTGGAGCCTGAGCGATTGCGTCCGCAGGGGCCTGGGTTCCTAGGGGAGGGCCCGGGCCTGTGTAAGCAGCCACCGGTTCCCATGGGCAGTGGGCAGGCAGCACTGCCGTCCGAGGTGCGGTCTGGAGCTGGGCACACAGGAGACCAGGCCCGGCCCAGCCGTCAAGATGGAGTTGGGGCAAGGAAAGCAGCTGGAGCAGGCACAGTGGCACCGGGCAAGGGAGCAGGAGGTCCTGCCGCCATCAGGATGCTCATGATCCAGGCCAGGCACCCTCCGCCGCATCCAGGGTATCTGTGAGCCCCTGCCGGGTGCTACCCTGGCCTGGCCCTTTCCATACCTCACAACAGCCCTAGGGGGCCAATGGTGTGGGCCACCAGTTACAGGTGGAGAAATTACAGGTGGAGAAACTGAGGCTGGGGGAGGCAGGGACTTGCTTGGTCATACACTACGTCATGGAAGACTGGGACCCCCAACCTTCCTCACTGCTGCCTCAGCTGCCTGCCCCACCCACACCACTGCCTGCTTCCCTCATTCTCCCCCTACTTAACTGGGGCCCCATTAGAGGGAAGTTGTGATTTTACAAAGATCAAAGGCACTGAGGCGTCCTCTCCCTGTGTTACCCAGGAAACCCAAGGAAATGTTCACAGATCGCTCCCAGGGATGGGGGCGTCCCAGGGCCCTGCTAAGGGTCAAAACTGCCAGGTCGTTCATTCCTCCCTGTGGGTGCATCCCCTTCCAGCCAGCTGCACACAGCATAGCATGAGGTACCCACCAGACAGAAACCAAACGGCAGGTGCCAGCCGTGTGGGGTCACGCGGGAGGGAAAGGGACAAGAAAGACAGAAACTCATTGTTCCCTGCTTTGAAATGAAGTTGGGACACGATGCCCAGGGCCAACAGGATGCTCTCTGAGGGCAGCCCAAAGCTGCAGAGGTAAGATGGGGTGGGCAGGACTGCAGGGCCTTGAACGCCAACAGGAAGCGGCCCCCGCAGAGGTCTCTGGCCCCTTCGCTGTCTGGAACAGTCCTGAGCTGCCTGAGGGCCTGCTTCAGAGAGAAGGCTGCTGGGGCTGCGTGGGGGCTGGGGGGCGCTGGCGGGAAGTCTTCAGTGCAGCCAGGCTGGGTTTCCTGGCAGCAGGCTCTGAGGCCGCAGGCCTGGGCCGGATCACTTTACAGCTGCAGGAAGTCTTGGCCCCAAGCAAATAAGGGCCAGCTGCCTGGTGGGGGCCTACACCTGGCACTGCAGGGCAGGATTAACGAGAGGCCGCAGCTCCTGCTGGGCCAGGGGCATGGGGGGAGGGGTTGAGTGGACCTTGAGGGGCCAGTGGGCAGGCCTGGAGGGCAGCCCCCGGGGCCTGCCTTTGAGGAAGACTTTGGCAGAGCATCCACTGAGCCCTCTCCCTCCTGGCTCCCCTGGGCACCAGGATCCCACCCTGCACCTGGATACTGACCCCTCCACCCACCCCCTGCCCTAGTGTCAGTACCCACCTCCCTGACCAGCCACTTCTAGGCTGTGTGACCTTAGGCAAATTACTTAATCTTTCTGTGTTTCCGTTTTCTCACTTGTAAAATGGGTGAATAACAGTCGCTCCCTCATAGGGTTGTGAGGGTTGACTGAGCCAACAACCCAGCATGTACCATGTAGAAAATGCTCCGTACACGTCATTGTCATGGATGATGCCCCCCCTTCCAGAATGGCCTCTGCTCCAGACCCCTGGCTCAGAGCCCTGCCTCTCAGACTCCTGAGTAATTTTGGGGACCCCTGCTCAGCCTCTGGTATTGCGTTCCCAGCTCCAGAACAACCTCTGTCCCTACTCCCCACTGGGGGAGAACCGGAGGAGGAAGGATGGTGTCTGTCTTTCCTCCTGGTCTGGGCTGCTACCCCTAAGAGGGGCCAGGGCTGTCTTGATCCCAGCAACAGGAGAGAGGCAGAATCCCCGCGGCGGTCCTGGATTGGGCTCTGCTGACTCACAGTAGGCGCTTTAGGAAGCCTCTGCCCTCTCCTAGGTGGTTGCAGGTGGGCCCAGCTCTGAGTCCTGAGCACGTGCTCTGGTCCCGCTCAGAGTCAGTCTTCCAGAGCGACCACGAGATGGCAGCAGCGCTGTGTGTACAGGGCTTGCGGGGGCACTAGGGTGGGGTCCACTGCGGCCAAGTCAGCCCCTCCCCAGTAGGGATTCCGGGAGAGAGGGGCGGGTGCTGCCGGCCCCTCCCTGCCCCGAGCAAGCTCACAGGCACGCGTGCACACACACACACACACACACACACACACACACACGTGCTGCCAGCTCCTCCCTGCCCTGAGCGAGCTCAAAGGCACGCGTGCACACACACACGTGCTGCCGGCTCCTCCCTGCCTCGAGGGAGCTCACAGGCGTGCCTGCACACACATACACACACACACATGCTGCCGGCTCCTCCCTGCCCTGAGCGAGCTCACAGGCATGTGTGCACACACACAGACACACACACATGCAGCCTCTGACTGGTGGGGCTGAGTAACAGTGGTGATGGGGAGTCTGAGGATCTGGCTTCACCACTGGGCCCTGCTGTGTGATCGCACAAGTGAGTTCATCTTTAGAAGCCTCAGATCTTACACATCCAGACTCACAGGGTTGTGGGGAGGATTTGGTGAGACAAAATGGGGGCTCCGCCACGGGAGCTTTGGGTGGGTGAAAGCGAGCCCAGTCCCCTCCCTCTCTTTACAGAGCCCTGGGTGTGCCCTCGATGGGGCCCCTGCTCCCACACCTTCTCAGCTGATGCGCTCAGATGCACGTGCAGTGCCGTTTCTGTCTGCACATGTAGACAATCATGAGCTCGCACGGTAACTCCAGCTCCACCACAGATTCCTTCTTTTCCGCCCTTCCCCTGTGTGTAACTCCCCTCTCCACCAGTGAGAAGCCTGCTTCCCGCTGTCCGTCATTCCTTCACTGCCTCCATCCCGGCAATAACCAATCTCTGTTGCCACCACTGTCCCATCCTGCCCAGTGCTTCCCACCCTCTCTGGGTGGACCACCACCACCCTGCCTCACAGACAGAGCCCATAATCCCAGCACTATGGGAGGCCGAGGCTGGTCAGGAGTTCAAGACCAGCCTGGACAAGATGCTGAAACCTCATCTCTACTAAAAATACAAAAATTAACTGGGGGTGGTGGCAGTCACCTGTAATCCCAGCTACTCAGGAGGCTGAAGCAGAGAACTGCTGGAACCTGGGAGGCAGATGTTGCAGTGAGCCAAGATCGCACCACTGCGCACCAGCCTGGGTGACAGAGCAAGACTCCGTCTAAAAAAAAAAAGGTCCTACCTCCAAATGCAATCATATTCTGACATACTAGGGGTTAGGGATTCAACACATGGATTCAAAGGGATGAGGCAGCCATGGATTGCCCTCTGCTGCCCTCCAGGCCCTGGTCCATTCTCCAGGCACACTGCCCTTTCCCAGGTGGCCACTGCATCTTCAGTGGGGCTGCCACATGAAACACACACCCCCACTCCGTGCCCCCTGCCCTAGTAGGAGTTTGAGGGTGGTTAGATTCATCCGTGGGCAGTCTAGGATTCGCCATGGGACCAGGAGCAGAGCAGGGGAGAGCAGGGGTGCTGGCAGAGTGGAGGGAGACACGTGGGGCTAGAAAAGTCACTGTGTACGTTGTCTGTGTGTGCACGTGCCAGAACACAAATGTGTGAGTTGCCCTGAGCCCTACAGGTCACTTAGGCTTCAGAGGCCGCTGCACCCCTTCAGGGAGAAGGCTGGCTGCCAAGGCAGGGCCCTCCCTCAGGGATCATTTCTCAGGCCCAGACAGGCGCAGAGACTTGCCCAAGGCCAAACAGCAAATTTGTATCTCTCCACACTGCACTGAGCTGTTAATATTTTTCCCTTTTGTGCATCAGTAATCAGACTTTTTTTTTGAGACAGAGTCCGGCTGTGTCACCCAAGCTAGAGTGCAGTGGCGCGATCTCAGCTCACCCCGGCTTCAAGCAATTCTCCTGCCTCAGCCTCCCGTGTAGCTGGGATTACAGGTGCCCACCACCACGCCCAGCTAATTTTTGTGTTTTTAGTAGAGACGGGGTCTCACCATGTTGACCAGGCTGGTCTTGAGCTCCTGACCTCAAGTGATCCACCCACCTCAACTTCCCAGAGTGCTGGGATTACATGCGTGAGCCACGGCACCTGTCCAAGACTGAACTTTGTCATGCTTGAAAGTGACAAGAAAGTTAGCAAAACTGCCCAGGATGTCACGAAGTAC